GTGTCATTTGTCCTGAGGATTTCCCACATTTAGGGTTTTGCTGTCTCCATCCCATGGTCTCATTTGGCGTGTTTCTCTGCCTGTGCATTTCTTGCAAACTGGCATTAATAGTTAGACCTGATGAGGTGTAGGTTAATGTGCAGGAGGAAGAAACTCCTTTCAGTGTTCTTCCCGTTGGTCTAATCGTTAAGTCTACATGAGACAGGTAAGAAAGTAACCAAATTTTATTACATATGTACATATGGAAACCCCATATATCAGAGAGTCAGACCCCACATACAGGAGAGGGACAGAGACAAAGTTAAAATGAGGGATATGTGACCTGAGCTAAGGATGCGGTAAGGCACCTGGGGCTACAGAGGGGAGGAGGGACATTGCAGGATGACCAGAGCAGATGTCCAGTAATTAGTAGCTGCCCTGCCGTATATACAGGTCAAAAAGCAACTTCTGGTGAAACTCTTATTATGGCAAGGCCCCTAATTTAAATTCCCTAAGGGAGAGAGAAGCGTTGCCCGGGAGCCTGCAGGGTCTCGGTTGCCTTCAGCTCATGACAGTCCACATACAACAGAGGCGGATCTTTGGTGACCCATTCTGAACTACCACCATAGCAGCTTTTTTGTTTTTGTAAGATTATTTAGCAGGTGGTGCATCACATCTGGCAGCGAATGAATAGTTGCTGATGTTTGCAATTTGCAAGTAGAGATGGACCACTGGGTTTGTGTTTGTGTGGTGGTGTTCTGATTTATCCATTTTAAAGTTGCTCAGTAATTTTTAATCTAATGTTTTAGCAGCCATTGGTGATCTTTGCCCACATCCACTCGTTCATTAGTTTTAACGTGGATGAATATAAGCACAGGTCCCTATCACAAAGTTACTACAATCAGGACTGCAGTTGGCTCAGTTCTGTGGAATTTGTCAGTCACACAATCATGTTGTATTCTCTATAGGCAGATCCCCAGATGTGGCTTGTTTGTAACAGGAGGAGAGGAAAACCAATTGGCTCGTCATTGGCCAACCTCAAAGGAAATGCACTTCAATAAACTAATTTTCCTATGGTTTCTGGTATAATTTAAGTGAGAACATAAGGAATCAAAATAGACCATAGTAAAATTATTAATATAAGAGAAGTCTTTAGTAACTTAGAAATCAATATCCATAAAGGTATAAAGCTCACTTTGTATGGACTAATTAAACTTCAGTCCATCAAAATGATGTTTGTCACTTTGTAATTATCTTTTGGAATATTGAGGTCACATTGATTCCAAATATATACTTGTTTACATTTATCTGGTTGATCTTAGTTTGCTCCTCCAAAAGACTTCCTAGTACCTCCTAGTGCAGTGGTTCTCAACCTTGGCTGCACATTAGAATCACCTGGGAATCTTTTTAAAATCCTGATTTCTGGGCCTCATCTTCTGGAAATTCTGTTTCTTTGTTACTAATGTTGTGGCCTCACCCCATAACAAAGAAACAGAATTTCCGGAGAATGAGGCCCAGAAATCAGGATTTTAAAAAGATTCCCAGGTGATTCTAATGTGCAGCCAAGGTTGAGAACCACTGTCCTAGAGGAACATTAGTAAAGACCATTTGTAAGATGCATAAAAGACTTGGGGGTTTGGTTTATTCTCCACAAGCTTGGAAACTCCTAATTTTCCTAATTTTCTAATTCCTTACGTCACGCAGCAATTATCCCATGGCCCAGACAGTGATGGCGAACCTATGACACGCGTGTCAGAGGTGACACGCAAACTCATTTTTTTGGGTGATTTTTCTTTGTTAAATGGCATTTAAATATATAAAATAAATATCGAGGGGAAAAAGTCTTTGTTTTACTGTGGTTGCAAATATCAAAAAATTTCTATATGTGACACGGCACCAGAGTTAAGTTAGGGTTTTTCAAAATGCTGACACGCCGAGCTCAGAAGGTTCGCCATCACTGGTCCCAGCAGATAGAAGGCTGTGCGTGTCTTGTGGTTTGGTCATAGGTGGTACAGGCGGAGGTAGAGGACTTGCATAATGAGAACAAGGCTAACCACAGTGCCACTTAAAACAAGACTAAAATTGCCCAGTAAATGAAAACCGTAACTGGGAGGGGGTTATGTCGGGGTACAGCAAGTGTGATCTTAAAAGGATCATCTTAGCAAAAATATCCCGAAGCTTTGCCAGTGTCCCTGGGGCCAGTTGGGTGGGACTTGAGCAAATCCTTGCATCTCTTGTAGGATTTGCATTTTTACTTTGCAAGACCAATGAAAATGATGGAGTGCAGGGGAGATGCTAGTTTCAGCAGAGGGGCATTGAGGGGAGCTCATTTTATAAATAAGTACCCCCATTAGTTAATTTTTTGTTGTGATTCCTCACATTACTCAGGCAATAAGGACACACGATCACTACCACTCTGCCCCATAGCTGATAAAACTGCCAACTTTAAATGTGCTTGTTTTATAACAATGAGGAAATATGTGCTTCAATTAGAAAAGCCCTTTGCAGATGAAATGTATGTGGTTATTCTCACTGCTCATGTGGCAGTTCTGAACTTGAGGAAAAGAAATGCAAGGACTCTGAAATACGATTTTGTGTTGTTTTGCCCTCTAGGAGGTTTCAGTCAAGAAGAACTTCTAAAAATATGGAAAGGGCTCTTCTATTGCATGTGGGTGCAGGATGAACCCCTTCTGCAGGTAACATGAACTTCCTTTTGTCACATTACTGGATCTTTGGCCTAGAGCCGTGGTCGGCAAACTGCGGCTCTTTGGCCCCTTGAGTGTGGCTCTTCCACAAAATACCACGTGCGGGCGCGCATGTACAGTGTGATTGAAACTTCGTGGCCCATTCGCAGAAGTCGGTATTTTGTGGAAGAGCCACGCTCAAGGAGCCAAAGAGCCACATGTGGCTCGAGAGCCGCAGTTTGCCAAACACTGGCCTAGAGGGATAAGAGAGACTTGTTGTATCAGTCCCCTAATGTGCTTAAGGATTCCCTGTCGCCTCTGATCATGTGGAAAAGGGTGCAGTGTCCAAGCGTTGAGGTTAATTACCTTTTCAGATGATAAAGAATTCACATAAATTAAAGGTTTGTCATTCCTCTGCGGTTTCACAGTCCCGTGGCAGGGTTTATCTTAAAGTGTTGTTTGTTTTCTATTTGTGGTAAACATGTCACGGCACTGGTCTCAGAACCTGTGAGCAGCCTGACCCATGCCGACCTCTGCCACAGGTCTAAGTGGTGCAGAGGACGGGCAGCCGCCTCCCTGGGGTCAGGGTCTTCGTAGAGCCACTCGCGGCCCCTCCTGATGCCCACACTGGCAGTCGGCGGAGACTTGTCACAGGTGTGTGTGTGCATGGGGACCCGTCTGCGGAGCCCGTGGGCACTCCCACCACCACTGTTTAGAAAAACAATTTCACTGCTTAAAGAGTTCAGTTGTGATGTGTAAAAGCAAAGTGAAGAGAGAAGCCTTGAAATGCCATTCAAAACCCTCTAAACATCATGGGTGGATTTTAGGTTTTTAAGGCACAACTCTGCCTTTTCCTCCAAGCCATGTAGTAACTCACTCTGATTATTGCTTTTACTAACCTGAACATATTTTGAGTAGGATAGCAAGGCAACATATTTTTAAATTCCATTCAAAAGTAACAGCTAGCAGCTTTAGTGGAGGAAGGAAATGGAATAAGAAATTCGCTTTCAGGGAATTCATTAGAAATGGGCGAGGGAGACCTGAGGGGGGGGAAGTGCAGATAATATTTATGAGAAAATCTATATTTTACATAACTCATAAAAATTCTTTTGTTGACAGTCCCCTTAAGACCCAAACCACCAAATTCTCTACAAGCAAGCTTGCTGCCTCTGAGTAGGACTTGTGTTTCCAAAGGCACTTTGGCGCTGGTCAGAGCCTGAGGTGCTATTCCCTGTGCTTGCCTCCACCCTGCCGCTGCCGCCTGTCTGAGCCAGCCAGGGAGAGGGCATTCTAATTCCACTCACTGCGTTTCCTAGAGTGAGAGACCTGGGCGTCTGTGTTTCCATTACTGGGGGATTAGGATAGACATCTCAATTTAAGTTTTAATGTATCTTTTAAGCCAGGAATTGACAGCTAATTTATTTCCTCTGTAGGTCATTTGAACAGATAGCTAGAGATACCTTTTTAAGCAGATAGCTTAAACAAATCTCAGAGGCATATGAAATTGGCACAGGAGTCCATTGAAATTGGAGGATTTTTTTTAGATACCCACATGCACACTTCTTAGTGGAAGTAACATTGAAAACAGAGGTACAGATTCTCACTCACCCACCTACCCAAACAGATATGGGCCGTGGTGCTGTCATCTCACAATGTTGCCACATAATAACCCTAATGTTTCTCCCCAACCCGCCTTTGCAGGAGGAGCTAGCGAACACGATTTCCCAGCTCATCCATGCTGTTAACAACTCCGAGGCTCGTAAGTCCTGATGTTTTCATGCCTCTCAAAACGTCCTTGCTTTTCGCATTTGGTAACTTGCCTATGATATCTAATCTATATTCCTTCTCCTTCCTTCCAAGCTTCCGTTTCCCAGTGGTCTAATTTAATGTGAACCTGGGGTATCAGTGTGTAGATGTCAGGTGACAAACTCTTCCCATGGGAAGAAACTATGATAAACTTAGATACTGACTCTGAAAGAGGGTGAAGGAGTACCTTGTAGAATATCATATTGGATATCTCAAAGATTTCAAAAAAATATACCTTAAATAATCCTCCAGAATTTCCAAATTCTGAGTTACTTTAACAGTCCTAGAAGCTATCCGTGCATATGTCAGTGTGTGCAGTACCCTCTGGATGCCAGGTTTATCCCCAAAACTAGAGCCGTTAAGGTTGTCACTGGTAATAAACTGTAAAGTATCCCCCCTTTACCAAAAAGGATAAACAGGGGAGAGACATTACTGCTGGGACACTCAGGCTCTGATTACTTCCAGGGGACAAATGAGACTGCAGAATGAGTTTTCCTGCTCCCCCTTCCTGTGAACAAAGCCATCCAATAGCCTTCATGGCCCTCAAAGGTTGTCTGAACTTGAGCCGAGCCCCAACTGACATGTAATGAACAAAATCCTACACATAGAATATGGTATAGGTCTTCATGTATCAAGAAAGATTTGTGCAAAAAGAAGTGAATAAATATTTTTTTTGACAAAATGCTAGTTTTGTGGCTCAGAAGAGAAAAATCGAATGTTTTGTTATAGCTCACCCAGCTGACACTGAGCATGAAACAGAAAGCTGAGTTTCTACAAGAGTCATTCAGGTGTCCATCAAAATTACTGGCTTTGGATTCTTAGGTGTAGGTTGGTGGAAAAGACCAGTAGGTGTGGTTCAGAAAATCTTCTGATTTAGAAACTTGGCTTTTAGGAGATAAAGAAAAATGCTCCAGAGAGCATTCTAGTTAAGCATTAAGATATTACCAGGTTTCCTGTTACTATAATGTGCTTTTGCTTAAATGTAAAAGAAATTATTGAGCATATTTAATGATTGACCAAATTTTCTAGCAGCCCAAGAATTCTTGAGAAAAGTAAAACATGAATAATCCTGGTTTGTTTCTTTTCATTACTTTTGTGCTTTATGGTAATGTGTTAACCTGAAACCAAGCATTCAGAGCCTTCTGTTCACTGCAGAGCACCTGTTCATTCAGACCTTTTGGCAAACCATTAACCGAGAGTGGAAAGGGATCGACAGGCTGCGCCTGGACAAGTACTACATGGTGAGATCAGCAGGCCTTCATCCCAGTTACTGCAAAGGCTCATGAGAGGGAGGGAACATTCAGCATCTTAAAAACAGTGGGAAGGTTTGATTGTGAAGCAGAGTTAGTTCTGGGATTGCTGAGATGACAAGCAAAGTGAACATTAGACAGCCTTTGAACTGTACTCAGAGACCGCTCTCTTGTCTCTTTCAGATGTTAGGGACCAGTTTGGGGACCTTTAGTTAGCATTTTATGATCTAAAGTTAAACGTGATTATTGTGGATATTTTCTTATTTGGGGATCCAGGCTACACCCGTGTCATTGTCTCATTCTACAAAACTGATCAATCCTCCTTCCTTTTGTAACACAAGTTGTCTGTCTTTAGCTGATCCGTCTGGTCCTGAGGGAGTCCTTTGAAGTCCTGAAGCAGAATGGCTGGGAGGAAAGGTTGGTAAACTATTTGGGTTAACATTTGGTGGCCTGAAAACTTTTAAGGTAATAGTTTGTTTTTCAAGCCTTTCAGTTAATCACCAAGTATGAATTGCCACATCTGTGCTATGAGAGGCAAAAACCCCTTTCGCATAAAGAACTTAAACCCAGCGGAGGAATATGAAAGAGTTGAGTACATAAGACAGTCAGCTTTTTATACTGACTTCTGTAGTTACTTTTTTCCTTGTAAAACTTTCTCAGTCTCGCATGGCTTGTGGTGCAGTGTAGCATGAGAGTAAATGTTACATATTCCCGGGGGTTGTGGGGGTTGGCACACTACAGTTAATAGGCCCATATGTGTTGTTTTCTTCAGCCGAATCAAGCTTTTCCTCGATGTCTTGATGAAGGAAGTCTTACACCCTGAGAGTCAGTCTCCAAATGGGGTGAAATTCCACTTCATTGATATAGAGGTAAGAAACAATCTGACGTCTGCCAGCAGTGTGATGAGACCACAGCTAACCTGAACAGGGCTCAGGGCTTCGCTCTTCAGATCCTCCTGTGAGCTGGAATGCAGTGCTGTTGGTGGCCCTCTGCACTGCCAGTGACAGAGCGTGAATCAGTTCAACCTGGCTTTTGACACATTCCTTCCCCATCTAAGAATGTGTCCTAAGCAACTAATGAGACATGTGGGCATGATTCATGCACTAAGGATGTGTATGCAATCTAACTTAGGAAACGTTCGAAAGCACCTACATGGTCCAGTAAAGAATTTGAGAACATGAGGAAATGCTCAGAATACTGAGTTTTTAAAAAGCAGTAGGAAAGAAAGGCAGTAGGCCAAGCTGTGCAAAGGTGTCTGACTTGTGTGAGTGTGCATTCATCCAGGAATAGGCAAAGGACTGGAGGGGAAACACTCTTTAGCGTGTCAGTGACTATCTGAATTAAAAATTGTGAGCAACTTTTACTTTTTCTTTCACAAGTGTTCTGCAGTGGACAAGTATTTTTTTAAATTAAAGAAAGTATAAATGTTGTATTAAAAAAATACTCCCTCATCTCATTCTCTGACCATCCATACAGAGCTACTCCACAGAGGAGGAAGTGTGGAGCGGTGCTGGAGGGTCACTGTGCTAAGATGCCCCAGCGGCTGGAGGGCAGCTGTGGCTTTGGCCTGGCTCTGGGCACCTGGGTGATTCATGCACAGTGCGTTTGGCATTGTGAGATAAGTGTTGCTCAGTCTGATTCAATCTGTGTGAAAAAAACAAGTGATACCTTTTTCAAGGACTTGTCAGAAAGGAGAAAAGGCTCTTTTTTCCCCTATTTTTATTTTTATTTTTTCCTATTTGATTTCTAAATTACAGCTTTTAGCAGATCAGAATCTCAAGTTTATTGATCCATTCTGCAAAATTGCTGCCAAGACTAAGGAGTAAGTGATTCCCATGTTTGTTTTTGTTGCTTCAATTAGTGTTAATTGGGAGAGGTGGGTTGTTTTGTGTTGTTCAGCATGATACAAGGTACCTGGGATGGTTGTCCAGAGCTAATAACAGCCAAACGCTTAATTCCCATTGGCAAGACGTTTGAAGCTTTGAGTCATAATACGGCTTTGCTGTTTGATCCCAGTCATTCCAAGAATCACACACTCCCCCACCCAGAGTTCAGTCTGTTGCTGGTCCCACTGCTTCTGGCACAGAGCCCTGGACTGGCTCCTTACAGCCACCACTGCTTAGCACAGAAGTGTAGTTAGGAATACGTGTGCTTGCAGAGCAGCTGGGTGGTCACACCGGGTCCTGGGTAGGCTGAAATGGGAGGTGCAGTGACCCCTACTTCTCATCCCTCTGTTCTCTTCAGACAATGAGTTCCAGACCATTGGTTTTAATCACATCCTCTTTGCTGTGCTTCCCCCTCAGCCATACACTGGTGCAGACTATAGCTAGGGGTGTTTTTGAAGTCATTGTAGATCAGTCTCCTTTTGTACCTGAAGAGACGATGGAAGAACAGAAAACTACAGTGGGTGACAGCAACCTCCCTGCAGAAGAGATAGCTGAAAATGAGGTGACATGGAGAAAAACATTCAGTAAAAAGAAGACAGGTAAGAGAGTGTCCTTAAGCACCCTTTAATACATTTGTTGGGATCTCAATGACTACAGTCGAATTTTTCAAAGATGGCTTTGGCTTGAACACCTGAGAAAGGAAGCCGATGCATATTCCCAACCCCTGTTTTGTTCAGGGGTCCTCTGGGGAAGACCCTGTGCCACCCACCCGATTCTTTTTATTTTTTTAATATATTTTATTGATTTTTTACAGAGAGGAAGGGAGAGGGATAGAGAGTTAGAAACATCGATCAGCTGCCTCCTGCACACCCCCTACTGGGGATGTGCCCGCAACCACAGTACATGCCCTTGACCGGAATCGAACCTGGGACCCTTCAGTCCGCAGGCCGACGCTCTATCCACTGAGCCAAACCAGTTAGGGCCCACCCGATTCTTATCTCCCGGGATGGCGGGACATTCCCCAAGGGTTTGTCATTGTTGGTGTTGCATTGGGTTTTGTTTGTTTTTGTTATTTTGGCTTTTCAGTTGTATTTCAACATCCTAATGTGGACTGGGATCTATAGAGGGTCCTCGACAGGAGGCCTGATGTGTGTGTTGTGAGCACACACTTGTTTCTGTAGCCTTCTGATCTCGGAGTTCCTTCGGGGTTCTTTTTCTTGGGAGTTTAAATGCCCACTGTGGGCTGACACTGTTCTTAGCACTGTTTTATATCCGTGCAGTCATGTAGAGAATACGCATTAAAGTTGTGACCCATCAGAACTCGGTGGTGCACGGCTGTAGTGCATGGTGAGGGCATCCTTGAAGCCATTTTGAAATGCAGAGTTTTCTAAACCAGTGACCAGACAAATTTAATCATGTTTTTGAAAGCAAGACATAAAAACTCTATGTGGGAAGAGCCTGATTTGTTTTACATTTACATGTGCCTTACATAATCAGGGAGGATATATATCAAAATGTTAATATTAATAGCCCCATGTGGCAGAATTTTAAGTGACTTCTGTTTGTTTTATACTTTTTTCTGATTTTCTACATTTATCATGTATTATTTTTTTAACAAAAAACAAGGAAAAGAAGAAACATTTTAATTTTAAATTCCACATAGGTGGTGGGTTAATTTAAAAGCCTGAATAGATTCTATGTGGTCATGGCAGCTGCCTCTGGGTCCCCCTGCTCCCCATGTTTCTATCTAAACTAGAGAGTTCTCTCTCCAGGAGCACTAGCACCTGCTCAGGGCACAGCCAGAGGTCACACCACTAATGAACTCCTAGGAATCCAGAAACAGTTCAAGTTTGAAAAGTGGAGTTTTCATTAGTAATTTTTATCTGCTTTCTCATGGGCTTTAGTGCTTTTTGAATTATTTATTAAATGTTAAAATTTGCATTTATATATTAACTTGTGCCTCCTGTAGCAGCTCCATGAAGTTAGTATACTACTATACAGATTTTTTTTACTACAGCCCAAACCTATCTGAAATTAGGGATAGACAGGCTCCTGAATCCATACTCCTTCCACAGCCAGAGTCACATGGTGCCTGAACCCCTGACTAGCAGCTTCCCGTCCGCTGCGCTGTCTGGAGGGGGCAACCATGTGTGCTGAACAGGATTGAAGGCCAGGGAGGCTTGTCTGTAATCGATATAAAGGCCGAATTTATGATTGCTCCTGGATATTTTTTCATGTCCAGCAGCTGAAAACCCAAAACATCTTTGGGAAATAATACTAGTAAATGTATTGCAGGGTTTTTCTCTTTAAGGAAATTTTCTTTTTTAGTAAGAGACACCTAATTAGACAGTGGCTCCTTCGGGAGTAGTCATTGCTGTGTAATTGAAGAATTTTGTCTTTGGCTGTGTTTTGATAGCACTGGGCAAATATCACTCCAGAAAGGAAGGAATCAGTGATGAAGGTGAGACAGATGGCGGTGGAAGCATGGAAGACACTGGGTCACTTCTCCAGGTTGGTGGCAGTTGTTGCTTTTTTTAGAAGATAGATTTACTGTGGAGTGGCTTGGCTAATTGGGAATTAGGGTCAGAGCTAATTAAACTCTAAGGCCTAAGGTGTGAAGTCCTTTCCATCCCTTCAGTCACTAATGTCACCTTCTTTATCATGAGCTTATTGCAGACAAATCCAAATATGATGGAATTTTGCTAAGATATATTCCATACAGCAAAATCTGCTCAACGATACTGCTTATTTTTATTTTTGGTTAATCCTCACCCAAGAATATTTTTCCATTGATTTTTAGAGAGAGTGAAATGGAAGGGGAGAGACAGAGAGGTACATGGTACATGCCCTTGACCGGACTCCAATCTGGGACCCTTCAATCTGCAAGTCAACACTCTAGCCACTGAGCCAAACTGGCTAGGGCTTAGTAATACTTTTTAAATAAAGGTTACTATGTTACCAAGTGCAAATTGGACATCTTTGTAAATTACATTACAAAGAAGCACACCCAAGTGAATTGTATGTGGTATATTTTACCACAGAGATCTTGCTTAAATCTTTGGTTGCCCAGTCTTAGTGGTGCTTGTTCTGACGGCCCCTATGAGTGCTTCCAGAGTCCCAGCTGGGGGTGCTCTGACCCTAGGACAGTGACGGCGAACCTTTTGAGCTCGGCGTGTCAGCATTTTGAAAAACCCTAACTTAACTCTGGTGCCGTGTCACATATAGACATTTTTTGATATTTGCAACCATAGTAAAACAAAGACTTATATTTTTGATATTTATTTTTATATATATAAATGCCATTTAACAAAGAAAAATCAACCAAAAAAATGAGTTCGCGTGTCACCTCTGACACACGTGTCATAGGTTCGCCACCACTGCCCTAGGAGGTGCATTTCCAGGTTACTGTAGGTTTATGTTCTTTTTTCTTCTCACGTAGTTTGACTATAAGGCTGTTGCGAACCGACTCCTGGAAATAACCAACAGGAAAAACATCCCTCCCTTCAACAGGAAACGTCTCTGCAAGCTAATCAAGAAGTAAGTGATTGCTTGAGAAGGTGTCCCTTGATTCTCATTCATGTTCAAGTCCAGCCTTTCCATTTATCTCATGGTATAGGACATGCTGTTACCATGCTTACATTTTTTATTTTTAGCATATATATGCACTTATAAACTACAGTGTTTAATTATGACAGTCACCTGCCTACCACTCCACCCCACCTCCACCCCTCGTGTCTCATTCTGCAAATGCAGCCACACTCAGCGGTTTCATAATGATGTAAAAAGAGGTCTGCCCTGACTGGTTAGAGCATTGGCTCATGCACCGAAGGTTCCAATTTCCTGTCAAGGGCATGTTCCTGGGTTGCAGGTTTGATCCCGGCCTGACTGGGGCTGTGTGCTGGAGACAACCAATCCATGTGTGTCTCTCTCATATCTGTCTTTTTCTAGCTCACTCTCTCTCCCTCCCTCTCCCCCTTCCTTCCACTCCCTCAAAAAAATCAATGGGGAAAATACCCTGGGTGTGTATTAAAAAATAATTATAAAAATAAATCTATTGATAATATCTAAAATTAGGTTGAGAAATTGCAGTGTGAGCCCTAACCGGTTTGGCTCAGTGGATAGAGCATCGGCCTATGGACTCAAGGGTCCCAGGTTCGATTCTGGTCGGGGGCATGTGCCTTGGTTGCGGGCACATCCTCAGTGGGGAGTGTGCAGGAGGCAGCTGATCGATGTTTCTCTCTCATCGATGTTTCTAACTCTCTATCCAACTCCCATCCTCTCTGTAAAAAATCAATAAAATATGTTTAAAAAATTAAAAAAAAATTGCAATGTGAGTGTACTGCGGAGGTGTTACCTGTTGGTGCGATACTGAGCTGGGTAGGCGTGTAGCTTTTTACCCCTTCCCCCACCCCTGGTGTGGTTATGCTGCAGTCGTCGTTGGTATCGTTATGACTGTACCAGTATTCACTGCAGAGCCCTGTGGCCTATTATGATTGATGATATACAATAGCTGAGTTTGATCACATTCCATGTAAGCAGGCACTGTTCTGAGCACTTAAATTACTTCACGTTATGTGGTAAAGGCTCATAAGCGGCCTTCTGTAATTCCCTCCTCTGACGCATGGTTGACTCGGGCACAGGGAAGTCACCGCCGGCCCAGAGTTGTAGCTGCCAGACACAGAGCTGGATTCAGTCCTCCTGCCACTCCCCCATTCTGCCCACTTCCTTTGTAATCTAATGCACCAAATCTTATAGGCTAAGCACTGCTTTCATTTCTCCACGTGGTAAGCAGAGGGGAGCTGAGTAGAGGCAGAGAATCTAAGCTCTGTCAGCCTTTGGAGACTAAGAAACCAAGTTAACTGAGGGTGATCTTGTCCTTCATTTTTGGCCTTTGCGTCACACTGCCTTTTCCCCCTTCCCTTCTAGAGGAAAAAGAATGTGAATTCTAAATATCACGTGTTTCTTAAAGTTTGTGCATATGTTTATAGAAGACAGAAAGAGGGGATTTCTTTATGAACTTTTGTTGTTTTCCTTTTCAGATTCCAAGATCTCTCTGAAGGTGAGGAAGGCAGAGCATTAGAACTGATGTTCTTACCTAAATGTGGACCTCACTGAGCACATTTAGGCCAAAGAGTAAAAAAGCAAGATTAAAAGCATAAGAAAGAGTAGTAGCCTTTATCTTTGAAAGATCGTCAGTTACGCCACTTGCTGCCCAGCTGAGAGAAGCCCGAAGAACCACTGTGTGGGGCTTTTTTCTTTTTTTATCTCACCACCCACTCTCCCATCCCAGGAGCCACGCTGAGCCAGACACGAGGCTGTATTGGTGGGGAGAGGGGGCATTTGAACAAGAAGGCTTTTTATTGGTCCATGTAGTTTTCAGTTTGACCTTTTTTAAGAACAGTCGATTTCTCCGGGTCCCTTTTGTGACTGTAAGATCCATTGTCCCCTGGGAGAACTGCTGTCTATAAACGTGGTGACATTTGAGCAAATCATTGGCTCACTGCCCCCATCCCTTGGGCCCCTGAGGTGCTTAGAACTCGGGTGCCCAGACCTGGTTGGCATATCTGGAGATGATGTTGCCCAAGATTTACAGTCCCTTGCCTTGAGTGAGAAAGCCACAAAGTTGAGAGCCTAAAGTCCCTGTGTTAGCAGCTTTGAGGTTTGGATGGAGAAGTAGTGAGGAACAGTGACCGGGAGGCAAATGAGGTGGGGAGGAGGTATGCTCTCAGGCCCCTGGGGACAGCTGTCAGGGCCTCAAAACTGACTGTGTGTGACTTTGGTGTCCAGCAGGCAGTGTGTCTCAACTCAGTTTTGCTGAGGACATTTCTGCTGATGAAGATGACCAGACCCTCAGTCAAGGAAGGCATAAGAAAAAAGGAAATAAGCTTCTAGAGAAAATGGACATGGACAAAGGTGAAGGTGAGGCATAAGGCTTGGGACTAGCAAGGCCTGAGAAGGAGAGGTGGGCTGCCCTCAGCGACCTTGGGCCCCTCTGCGGTCCTGAGAACCTCTGAGCCACTGTCTTGATAAATCGTTACAGAGCAAACGCTTTTGCTCTTATGGCTGAAAAGTAAAGATTGTTTCTGAGTATTTGATTTTTCTGGGACACCCGCATTCCCACTTCCGGTAGCATCTGAGAAGGAGATAAACACTGCCCTGTGACTCGTTTGTCTTACTACCACCTGGATCTGTGGCTTTACCTTTGGCCTGAAAATTAGTAGAAATCTGAATATATTTCAGCTCCATTTATATTGAAAAGGCATTAGCAAGGTTTCTAATCACAGCTGGGAAAGGGAGGAAATGGGACCAAAGCAGAGAGCTCAGGAAGCTCACGTGCGCTGAGGATCAGAGCCTTTCTGGGGGTAAGACAGCCCCACAGGCATTCTGTAGGTCACTCACTCTGCCCCAGAACCCCCTGCGAGACCTGCTGTCTGCTTGGCGAGGGGGCGCCTGCTCATTGGTTTATGTGTCTTTCTAGGAACCAGGTTCTTTCTTGCTGAGGAAGAGGAGAGTAAAGCTGGTGTTCACAAGAGGAAACGGAAAAAGAAGAAGAACCACCTTCAGCCTGAACACTTGGGGTCAGGGGTCAAAGCCGTCCCCCCAGAACAGAATGGGGACCCAGAGCAGAACGGGGACCATGAGCCAGAGGCAGGTCCAGGAAGAGCCCAGAAGCTGGGTGGGATTGCGCCAGGGGCAGGGGTTTCGCCCAGCCCCCAGGGGCAGAGCAGCTCGGAGCACCCCCTCGTGCAGCCTCCCACGCACAGCAGGAGGAAACGACCAAGGAAGAGGAGCCCTCGGTTCCAGGAACTGGTTGCCGAGCCCACAGTGTCGCCTCTGGAGGACCTGTGTCAAGGTGGCCCCGACAGTGGTTATGCTGCGGTGCCTGTCCCGCAGGCTTCCCCAGCCAGTGGAGCCCCAGCCCTGAAGAGGAAGCGGAAACTCAGGGCTCCCCTGGCCAATGGCAGCCCGCCCACGCTGGCCTGGCCCCCGCCCCAGGAGGAAGGCCCTGCAGCCAGCCCAGCAGACGGAGGGGATTGCCCCGCCACCCTGCCCCCGGGTGGGAGACTGAAGAAAAAGAAGGGGGAGCCCAGCCGTCTTGACCTCTACAACCCGTCCACTCAAAAAACTGCCATCTTCAAAAAGAGGAAGAAAATGAGAGAGATGCTGAACTTGGTTGAACACAGCAGAGGACTGGAATCTGAACTCAAGCTCGTCCAGGCTCTGGTAAGGCAACTGGGTTCCAGGCAGGGTGGCCACGGCTTCCTGCTGCAAGAAAGGTCAGGGGCCCTGCCTTGGGCTTCCGTTTGCGGTGGAGGGAGGAGGGGGAGACAGGTCAGGCCTCTGAACTAAGCAGCTGTCATGGTTCATAGTTCCCTTTACCAACAGTAAAGAAACGTGACCCGTTTCCGTGTCTGAGACAGTCACCACCCGCCTCCTCATTCCACTCCCACCCTCCCCTGCCCCCACCACACTGCTCGCTTTGAGGGGCTACAGAAGGGCCACATCAAGCTGGGAGAATGGTCCGTGGCCCAGGCAGACAGGCCGCCCTTCACTATAAACAGGCAGACAAGTTCCTCCATCAAATGCTGGTCTTATTTTTCTTTCAACTCATGACCAGTCCCAAGCCCATGCTTTCTTTTTAATGAAAAGACTTTCTTTCCGCTTGGCTCTCTAGACCCATATATGAATGAAAACCGGACTCTGGTTCCACTATTCACACCCTCACTCCGGACGTACCGTGCATTCAGTAGTCGGCAAACATAACTGCATTGGCGCACAGCCACGCCTGATCGTGCACACTCCCCGCTGCTTTCACTCCTCAGCTGCAGAGAGGAGTAGTTGTGGTAGACACCTTGTGGCCCTCAGAGCCAAAAACATTTACCCCCGGCCCTTCATGAACAGGCTTGCTGATCCCTGTTCAGTACTTGTGTTTGCACGCACTACTGTGCAGCAGTGTGAATGTTAGGGGAGTTTCTGGTCAGTAAGAAGCCTTAGCCGGGGAAAGCAGAACATTCACCTGGACTTCGCTCTAATCCTAGATCTTCCCCTGACAAGCTGTGTCACCTTCCCTTGGCTCTGCAGCCTCCTCCCTGCACTCACTATTCACTGATGCTCTTTCTTCACTAAGAATATCAGAAAATTGCTTCTTCGCATCATTTTCACGGGCCTGCACCCTCTCTTCAAGAGGATTAGAACTGTTGCTGATAAACCAGGGGGTTTTCCTCCAAAAAGGGCAATGTGTCTACATCTCTGCCAGCAGGGGTGGGAAGGCGCATGGGAGAGGACTCCTGGGTCTGCCCCTCATGGGTGCTCAGGGAAGGCAGACAGCTTCCAAGCCAGGACCAAGGACTTGCCAAACCACCCGTGTGACATTGGCCACGTTGGGTTTCCCAGACCCCTGCAGTCCCAGAACTAGTGCCCAGTCTTTGCTGTGGGTGGTGGTCAGCTGTAAAGCACCCAGTGAATGTTCTTCATCTGCCTTAAGTGGACCTACAGTAAGCTAAGGTTTGTTTATGGAAGAAGAAAAATACGTTTTATAAATCTAGTGTTGCCTGAATGTACTGTGTTACAAAGTCTCCAGTGTGTGCAGTAATGTCCTGGCCTCCACATCACCACCACTCCCTCACTAACTGGCCCACAGCACCTTCCAGGCCAGCTAGCTCCGTTCATGGGCAGGGCCCTCTGTACAGAGCCCTGTATCATTTACACTGTACCTTTTCTATGTTTAGATACACAAGTGCTTACCTCTGCTATAGTTGCCTGTAGTATTTAGTGTGGTAACATGCTGCACAGGCTTGTAGCCCAGGAGCAAAGGCTATGCCGCAGAAAGACAGAAATCTTCAAAAGATGAGCCTTGAGTTTGAAAAAAAATAAAAATAGTTCTTGTTGCTGAGAAGATAGGAAACTTCTGTATAAGTTTTTCTCTCTCCTGGGCCGCGACCAGCACGGCTAAAGAGCAGACGAGTCCTGAGTAGGGGCGGCCGGGGATTGAGAAAAGGAAAGAGACAGACACAGAGATAGTGGGGAAAGCTGGGACTGGGTGGGACACTGCCCTTTGATGGAGGGACAGTGATCCAGAGCTGGTGCAGCGAGTTTATTATATACAGCATGATACCAGAAGTTTTATTAGAGTTCAAGACAAAGGAAATTATGTAAAATCATGGTTAAGGATCAAGCTGCAATTCTTCATTCTTGTGGCTTCTTTGTAATTGTCACTCCTGGCTGAGCCCGGATTGCGTCTGTTCCTGGCGCCTGGCTAAACCTAGACAATGAAACCCGCCCCCTGGCGTCTGAGCTAAGGATCAGGCCAACAACATACCTGCCTCTGGCATGGTATGTTTCTAGGACATGGCTCTGCTGAAGCCACTGGACTCAGCCAGCAATCAGTTCATGCGCCTTCCCAGGCGCGCTCTACACTTCTAGTCCTGGCTAGTGTGGCTTAGTTGGTTGAGCATCAACCCATGTACCAAAAGGTCACTTGTTCGATTCCCGGTCAGGGAACATGCCCAGGTTGCAGGCTTGATCACTGGTAGGGGGTGTGTGGGAGGCAACTGATTTATGTTTCTCTTTGGTGTTTCCATCTATCCCTCTCCCTTCCTATCTCTAAAAAATCATTTAAAAAAACATTTTTTTGAAAAAGTAGGAAACCTCTGGCCCTACCATGGTGAAGTGGCAATTCTGTTCATGAAGTGTGTCTTCTGCTGAGCCAGAAAAGGTGTTTGCAAGTCTGGTTCCGGAAATGGTGGGGGATGGGGCATCGGAACTGGTAAATAGCTCTCACTGAGATCCCCTTCAGCCTGTGGCCTCGCTCCCCATGGTGTCTGCACCCGTCCTGCTTTCACTTCCTGTGTGTAGGTGTGGCGCAGGTGGCCCTGAGCGTGACCTCCCCTCTCTTTTCGTCCCTCACACAGGGGAGCAGCGGAGCTTTCAGCCCTTTGAAGAAAAAGAAGCTGAGGACTGAGAATGACTTTGTGAAGTTTGACACCCCCTTCTTACCAAAGCCCCTGTTCTTCAGAAAAGCTAAAAGCAGCACTGCCACCCCTGGGACTCCTGCTATGCAGGTAAACACACCACGACCGAACCAGAGGGGCTGTGGTTGGCCTCTGCTCCTGTCCACAGCGCACGGGCTCCTGTTCCAGGACCCCAGGTCTGCTGTGCGGGCTGTGCTGGGGCTTCTGGGGCCGACCCTCGGGATTGACCAGAGGTGCCTCCTCTGAGAACTCATGGGAATAGGGGAGATCTAGAGAGACCAGTACTGAAGGGGGCCCCCGAGGGCCCTGGATTTACAGATCAGATGGAGGAAGACCAGAGGGGCCTGCCACGGACACTGGCAGGTGCTCAGACTAAAAGAAGGAACAAGTGCTGTCCCCAGTTGGGCGAGGTGAGCACTGTTCTGGGAAACCAGGTAGGAGGCCATGAAGGACGGGTCGCCTCTGCCAAGATGCAGACCAGTGTATGCGGGAGGCTCGTCTGGGGTTGCCTGCAGGAGATGGAGGTCTTGGTGGAGCTGTGGAGACGGCCTGGGCTGGCCCTGCTGGGGAGACCCACAATAGGTGGACTTTTTGAGAAAGCAGTAGGTGCTGTGTAAATAGCCTCCAACCGACAGAGTGACCACTGCCCATGTGAGTGGCCTAAGATACTTTCAGGATATTGTAAATGACTCTGGGCTTATAGAAGCCAGGTTCCTCTGATGAAATGATAATGTTAAAGCAAAACGGTCTGAGATAGAACTGGGGACTCACACAAAAATACGGGGTTCTGGGAATAAATTTGAGAAAATGCTCCAAATCAGTTTGGAGTTCTGTGCACAAAAGGCCGGGGATGTGGGTACATTGCTCACCAAAGTTCAGTCCCATTGCAGATATAATCTAATCAGTTTTGCTTCCAAGTTAAGGCTTAAATTCTAGGATGCAGTGAGTGGGAACTCCTTATAATTTTTCAATGTTGAACTTTTCCTGTAACTTGGAGGTTTCAGTCATGGTCATTTTGCTCTGCTTTCTTCCCTGGAAGGCAGAGGCAGAGTCGGCAGTGAGGCAGTTTACTGCAGAGGGGTGCTGGCACTGCCCACCCCCCAGGTCTATGAATGTGCCTGCCAAAGTGTTTCATGCAACCCAGACCTGGGGCGTGGGCAGCGTGGTCCTGATGAGGCCACAGAGGCGGACACAGGCCCTGGGGCCTCCAGGCTGAGCGCTCCTGTGGGCTGGTGGGCACCTATGAGTGCTCAGGGATGCAGACACACAGGGTGCCTCAGCTCTTTGTGCTCCTCTCACTCCCATTATGCTTTTCTTCTGCAGCTCAACAAAACACCATCCAGCTCCAAGAAGGTCACCTTCGGGTTGAACAGAAACATGACTGCGGGTGAGTGCGGGGTTTGCTTACAGTCACCGTCTGCTCCTGGGGCGGAGGGCCCTGACCCCTCCCGAGACAGAGTTGGTCCGCACCTCCCCAGCGGGCGGCCAGGGGAGGTGGGGGTTGGGGGTCAGGTTTTCTGGGGTCTCTGGAAGGAGCTGACCTGGTAGGAGGTGATGTGGATGGTGGATGGCCTACCTGCCTAGAATATGTTAGTCGTCTTGACCTGAGATTTAATGGTCTGTAAGCTATAGCCGCCTCTACCTAAATTCAGAACCACCCTACCCAAGAGTGGGGGGAAAGTGGGACAACTCGTTTTTCAGCTTTTAACATGGGTGTGATTCATTTGTGTTGGTTTTTTCCCAGAGGAAACCAGTGTTTTTTAAAGTATATGAGTGTAAGACCTGACTCTCTTTAGGCACAAGTATCTGTGCGCGTGCGCATCTGTATGTATGTACGTACAAATGCACGCACACGCACACAGGGGAGCAGCTGTCAGGAGAGACCTGGGCAGCCCCGTCTCCCTCCATCTCTCCAGGTTGAGTCTGTAGATGGGGAGGCAGTGTGGGAGGAATAAATGCCAGAAAGAGGGCTCCTCCTGGGGCTCTTTATTGAACCCAAGTATCACAAGGGGGCCCTCAGGACATTTTTCTTTGGGGAGTAAATTCATTCTTGCTGGTGACTTTCATTTCCTCAGAAAGCCCCGGAGGCCAGTTCTCTGCGGGGCTGCCCTGCACTGAGCGCCCTGGCTCCATCGGGGCCTCCTGGGCAGCGCGGAGGCAGGACGCGGGGTGGGTTGGCAGGACAGAGGAATCAGACCCACTAACGTGTGGCTCACTCTCGTTGGGCAGAATTCAAGAAGACAGACAAGAGCATCTTAGTCAGCCCCACAGGCCCCTCCCGAGTGGCCTTCAACCCTGAGCAGAGGCCCCTCCACGGGGTGCTGAAGACCCCCACCAGCTCCCCTGCCAGCACCCCCCCGGGGACCAAGAAGCCGCTGACGGCCACCCCAAAGAGAAGGCCAACAGCGATGGACTTCTTCTAACAGTAGCAGAGTCCCTTTGTAAAAACTGCTTTTGTACAGAATACTCTATAAATTATAACTTTTAAAAGGTGGGGTGTTTTTTATTACTTTATAAATTGTATAGATGAGGGTCAGAGTGTGAGCCACGACGCTGCTGTGGGCATCTTGGTTGAAGTTTCACTACGAACACGGTTTGTGCTGGCGCTCACCGGGATTTCCACACTCGTGGGAGCCGAGAGCATGTGACCTTCACCACGGATGGATGCTGCTGGCACGTGTCCACGTGTCAGCCTGGGGTCAGACTCCATCGGCTGTCGCCTGTGCACAGCCTGGGTACTCGTGTCTGCCTGCTTGGCTGATTTCTGGTGGTTTTTCATGTAAGTCTCCATTTAACAAGCACCTAAGCTTTGTTCCCAGGCTCTGTGGGTAGTGGGCAGTTTTTGATCGGATCACTCTGACTGAATCCGAAATACAGCTGGGGATGAGCCTTCTAGTGTGCAGGAGAGCAGAGCCCGTGGCCTGTGGCCTTCCCTGTGTTGCTACCTCTCAGAAAGCCCAAAGTGTCCTCATCGGAGAGCAGCGGCCCCCGGCACTCCCCCGTCCAGTTGTCGTGCTCTGGCTGCTCTGTATACGTAAATGCCTGTGCCGGCGGCCTATCGCCGGCGTCCACATGAGCAGCTCTCCCATCTTAAGTGAAAACAGTGCTGCGAGGCCTGGCCACAGCACCCGGAGACCGAGCTCCTGCTGGGAGGCAGGCAAGCAACTGCCAGGACTGTTCGTGTGTATTTACTTGTTCAGAGTTACCTAATATCTGAAATGCTGAGTCATGCATTGGCAGGTTTTTATAAAGTCCTCATTTTAATTAGAAAAGGTGGGAGGCACACAGACTTACAGTTGGAGAAACAAATGCAACTTGGAGCAGCGCTGCTTAATCCTTGATCTGATCCCAGAGCCTGAATGAGGGGTGGGATGCAGACTCGGAGCCAGGGGTCGCGTCAGGAAAGCCCCTGGCCCGGCTCCTTCTTGAGTTTGCACAGTAACAAATTGCAATCGTAACGGGGGACACACAGTTTTGCCTCAGGTGCCCAGTGCTTCCCAGCCTGCTCTCCACTCAGGGATCTCAGGCCTCCCAGAGTGAAAGCCTCCCTCCCCCTAAGCAGGAGCCCCAGTTTCTCACCAAAACCAGGGCCAGCCCACATTGCTCCTTCCCAGCTGAGGGCCCAGGGTGCCACCCCTCCCTGGTCAGGGCTGTGGCTTCGGAAGAAAGGCCTTCTGGGATGACATGGTCCAGCTGAGTGGTTTCCTTAATCACATGACCAGGGGGGCAGACTTACCCAGGAAGGCCCTGCTGCCAAGGAAGGGGAACTGTTCTTTGCTCTATATCGAAGTGTTGTCACAGGTCAGGAAGAAAGAAACAGCGAACATTGTGCTGCTGTTAGCTCTTGTAGTGAGACGTCTTCATACAAGATGACCTTGTGGCTGCATGGTTTTAGTGAGCTACATTCGCCATCATACCTAAAGTCACTCAAAACCAGAACTGATGTGTGAAAAGATTAGATTTGAGTTGTCAGATATTTTTAACTTCATTTTTTTTACAAAAGTATCATTATTGGTCAAATTATTTTTCTAACAACTTTTATTTCAGCTTGAAAGATAGGTCTTATAGTCAAATGGGCCATGTAATCCAGCCATGTTAAGATGTCTTAGCAAGACGTTCTAGGGCAAAAAGTGGCACATTTATTGTCGTGATGTGTGCAGGACCTTCTCTTCATAGCGCTGTATGTCACCTGTCTCTTCTGGGCTACCAGCGAGTGCCCTGTGCGTGCTCCTGCACGTGCCTGCCTGCGGACTGGGTCCTGAAGGAACAGTGTGTCTTGGGTTCCATCTGTCCTCTGACTCTGTCCTAACTTACTCTATTTTGTGGGTAAGTCCAGTAGGTTTACTGTGGCTTATTTTTAATGCCTAAATTTTGGCTACAAAAGAAAAAAAACAATTTTTTAAAATTCTCATTACGTATACATACAAGAATGTCAGATAAACTATTTAGAATACTGGTTTTCTACTTGATGCATGCTATTTTCCTAGGTAAAATCGCCAAGAGGACTTGGCAGTCCAAAATAGGAAATAATTTAATGCTGTCGATCTTACAGTATTTTGTAAAACAGTCGTCTGTACGATTTGGTATCACACTTTACAGCGTATTGTCCTTTTACTGAACTGAAAGCACAAAGGGGAGTATAAAGCAGTTGTTAGTGTTGGGAAAAAAAATGAAATTGAGTCCATATTTTGATTTTTGTGTGTTTTCTCTGAACTTACCTGACTGCTGGCAAGGACTGTTTGTTTACGACCACTTTGTGTTAGTGTCTGCAGGGTTTGTCAGTACTCATCAAAGCCAAGTTCAATAAAAAAGTTGTCTTTGCCTCAGACTTGTATTGGATATGACTGTCAGTGTGCATAAAAATACGCCTCTCGAGGAACTGCTCAGTGCAGCCGGGGTGGGAGGTGTTGGCGCCGTTATGAGGGTTTGAAAACAGACTGTTCAGGCACCTGTCCTTCTCATATGTTCACTACACAGAGCCGGGGGGGGAGGCGGGGGACGGGCGCTGCTGGGGCAGTCTCGGCGGGATGGGGGAGCAGGCACTCTCTGCCAGACCTACATAAAGCACGGGCCTCTGCCTGTGAGGACGATGCAGAGGTGCCACTGTCCTGGGTGCCTCCCCAGCTCACCCCAGACCGCCGCCAGGTGTTGAGGGCACCGTGGAACAGGAAGGCCCATCCCCCATTCGTATGTCCTGACCCCCGTGTCCGCACTGGGACCACACAGCCCTGCACCACCTGGATGCACCTGTGTTCGTCTGTCCCTCTAACAAGAGGCATTGAGTTTTCTGTCTCAAATGTAGTTCCAACGTATTGCTCTTAGGGAAACATCGATCTGTTGTCCAACTTATTTATGCGTTCATTGGCTGCTTCGTGTATGTGCCCTGACAGGATTGAACCTGCAACCTTGGTGAATCGAGACTAACCAACTGAGCTACCCGGCCAGGGCTCCTCTATCTAGTTCTCTGTCTTTTCACCCCTCTTCACGGGGCCTCACCAGGGCCCCCTTCCTAAGATACTGTAGGGGTCAGGGAGCAGCCCTGTCCTGGTTTGGAGATTAGGGCAGAGGTTACTTCACCCTCCACAAGGCTAAAGACACTCGAAAGGGCATTTTTTGGAGTGACCGTCACTGGATTTCTCCCCATCTCTGCGCCTGCAGCTCTGAGCCTTTGGCCATCAGCTGGCTCCTCTCCCGCCGCCCCACTTCTCGCCCCACATGCACTGCCTTTGGCTCCTTTGAGCCCCCATGGCTGTCCCCCTCTTTCCACATGCACCCACATGGTGAGCTCAGAGAAGAGCTTTGCACATGACAGGAGCCTCCCTCCTAAGAAGACGACTTCTCCCTGCGTACACGGACTGTGTCCTCTACACCAGCGGTCGCCAGTCTTTCGGACCTCACGGACCACCAGTGCTCCATGGACCACCGTTTGGCCACCGCTACTCTACACTTAGCAAATGCTGCACCCCTGCTCTGCTGTGCCAGTCCTCGTCCTGGACGAGGTACTGCAAATGCAGGGTCAGCAGACACAAGCCGTGCCCTGACGTGGTGGGGACAATAAACAGGTGACCGTGTGCTTGTCAGCGGGGGACAGGAACTCCAGATGGGTAAGCAACCCAGGAAGAAGGCAGTGGGCTCTCGCCCTGTCATACGTGACACTACCCCACCCCTGGAGAGCTGGACAACTTGTGCAGATGGCACTCAGACTTTGCAAACACGGTCTCCTTTTGAGTTTCTACTGAACTTCAAGCACAAGGAGTATAGAGACAATCGGGAAACGGTTGCTGGTTTTATTAAGTGTTGGAAAGAATATTAAATTGAATCCGTATTGACTGGGACAGGGAGGGGGAGGCTTTAAAAAAAAAAAGATAAATTGAATCCATATTTTAATGTTTATGTTTTTTCTTAATTTACCTGGCTGCTGGCAAGGCCTTTTTGTTTACAGGAAGGCAGCATTTGAGCAGACATCAAAAGAGGTTGAAAAGTGAGTCATGTGTATCTGGAGAAAGCATTGCAAGCAGCAGGAACTGTAAGAGGCCCTGAGCATCCAGGAAAAGCCTGACCCCACTCCAAGTCATGTAAAGGACATGAACTTGGCTTGCACCCCAGTTCTTGTGATCTAGGCAAGCAGACATTTGTCATAGCAACTGATTGTCATAGTAACTGTCAAACATAGATGGATTTCTAGACAAAGCTTGCCCAGTCTTGCCCAGCCTGTAACGATCTGCTACTTCCCTATGATAGGCCAAGCCCTAGCAGTGACCTATGAAGCATGACCAGCCACAGCTTAGCTATAAAGCAGTGTGTGTAAAAAATAAAGTTGCTGGTACCTTGTGCCAGTCCTCCTAAACCCCGGTCTCTGGTGCTTTCATCCCACGCCACCTCTACCCTGCGGGACCCTTGGGAGCGGGCCTCCACAAGGAACCACACATGCAAAGGCCCTGAGGCAGGGCCATGTGGAGAACAGCCAGGAGAAGTGGGGCCTCCAGGTGGAAGTGCAGGGAGCTCAGGGACCCCAACTGTCCCCATAGAGGACATCTGACATGCTGGTCAGGATGACAAAGACAGCCATTCAGGGTCTCTAGGGATTGGTCAAAGGGCTGCAACAAACTGAGAAGCATTTATTCAACAAAATCTACAGAAGCTGAGTAAGACTAGCAGGAGGCTGTGACACGAACCTGGGCTGCAGCCCTGCGCCCATGGTTCCGCCTCCCAGGAGTACTTCAGTGGGCTCTGCGCCCAGGCTGTTCCCACCTCCCCTTCTGGGGACAAGGGGTGGGGGGGCGGGAAGAAGAGGGGAGGGAAGGAGCTGTTCCACCTAGATCAGCAACCAAAGTGACATTTACCTTCAAGCTTCCACAGATGCAGAGGGAGCGCAGGGAGGGCCCAGAGGCTGGTGTGGGGCTGGTGTCGGTGTTATGGAGGACACACCTTCTAAAACTCAGAGGGCGGCTGTGGGACTCCAAGCAAAAGCCCGTGTCTCTCCAGACCCTGGGAGGTGCAGGAGCTTCTCCCTGGGGAGCCTTCTCTTCTGCCAGGTTCTGCAATTGACAGATGTCCCCACAGCTTCCCAGGAGGGAGATGTAATGAGTTCCTATCCACAGTGGAGGCAGCAAGGCTTGGAGAAGCCAGGCCCTTACCCAGGCCTCACGGCTAGTCCATGCCTGAGCAGGGGTCTGATCCCAGCTCCCCTGATCTGCAGAGCCCAGGCTCTGACCTACCTCCACCCACCAAGCCCTGGCCCCACCGGGCTGTACATGTGCTTCTCGAAGTTTGGGCCCTGGCCAGCAGCAGGGCACCTCCGGAGCGGGTTAGGGACACAGGATCTCAGCCCCTCAGAGCCACGGAATCAGCACCTGCATTTCGCCTGCACACGCAAGCTGGCCGCAGACTTGCAGCCTTGCACAGAGGCCTCCACACAGAACGATCCTCAGTGAGTATTAGCTGCATCGAATTTACTCCAGTTGAAGAAACACAAAACCAAAGGAGTTTTCCTTTGATGGACATCCCTGAGCTCCAAGCTGGGGAAACTCCCACCAGACCCCTGGACCTCAACCTTTAACTTTCTTTTTTTATTATTTTTAATTGAATTTATTGGAGTGACACCAGTTAATAAAACTATATGGGTTTCAGGTATACAATTTTATAATAATCATCTAGACATTGAACTGTATGTTCACCACCCTGAGTGATGTCTCCTATCACCATTTTTCCCCCTTTATCCTCTCCGCCCTCCCCCATCCCTGTTCCCTCTGGTAATCACCATACTGTTGTCTGTCTATGCGCCTTTAACTTTCAGAACGTACGTGAGAGCAGAACACACTGCACCCAAACACCCACAGACCGTCAACTCGAGTGAACTGGTGCCGTGCGTCTGGTTTATATATTCTTTTGACTGAACCATCTCAGACTCAGTTATGGACAGCATGACCTTTTATTCGCACACACTCCAGCCAACATTGCCAAACAGTGACCTCTATATGCATGTCATCGTAGTCACACGATTTCCCCCCCAGTCGTCCCCAAATATTTTTCTTAACCAGAAAGTAACTGAGGAGCCCACATTGCACTTGGTTGTAGTGACTAAAGTTTCTCTTATTCTACAACAGCCATGGGCAAGCTACGGCCCGCAGGCCGGATCCGGCCGTTTGAAATGAATAAAACTAAAAAAAAAAAAAAAGACCGTACCCTTTTATGTAATGATGTTTACTTTGAATTTATATTAGTTCACACAAACACTCCATCCATGCTTTTGTTCCGCCCTCCGGTCCAGTTTAAGAACCCATTGTGGCCCTCAAGTCAAAAAGTTTGCCCACCTCTGTTCTAGAACCTCCCTTATTTTTTCTCATGACATTGCGTTTTTGAAGAGTGACTCTAACCTTGACCTGCAGCCCACAGGTTGGCTGTGGTCACTCTGGGGACGGTCCAGCAGGGGTTGTGACCTTTCCATTGATCACAGTGACCCAAGTACAGAAAGTGCTGGCCGTCTGACCCCTTTCAGGCTGAGCTGGGCCAGGCCTCAGAGCAACAGGCTGGGCTGGTTGCCATGATAGCTCCAACCTCAGCTTTCGGCTTTCCCTCAGCTGGGAGCGGAGGGACTTTTTCCAACTCCAGGCAGGGCGGTTACCCCTCCCGGTGTCGGGACTGGACCTCCTGCAGCACAGGCTTGTTTTCCTTGAGACCTGGGTCTGGACAGCCCAGCCCAGTGTGTGTCCAGGGAAACAACCCAAGGCCAGTTCTCACCTGGCCAGGAGCTGAACCCGGCACTATGGGGACAGGGAACGCCACCGGCATCATCTCCCCGGAGGTCCTGTCTCTTCTCACACACAGTTATCATCTAACTTTTGTCTCAAAACTGTGGATCTACCCAGGACCTCAGAGGTCAGTACATTCTGGGATTAGCAGTCAGGCAACCCCCATGCAGCGGGCTTGTGCAGTGAACGGCAGAACCCTGGGATAAGCTTGGTTACTTTACCAATGCCCCAACTAAATATCACTTTTCTAAAACAAAGCACAAGCCAAGTCAAAGTTTTGTTTAACAACATGAATGCAGAAAAATGACTCCACTTACGTACATCTGTTTTCTGAGCCTGCAAACCTGTGGGAGCCAGGTCTAAACCCTGTGATCTGAATGTTCCATGGCGACCTGCTGGGCTCAGAGGGTGGAGAACACCCAGCTGCCTCCAGAGGCGCTGGGCCACGTACAACTGGCAGCCGAATCAGAGAACCCCACGCCCCTGCCACCTCCACACTCACTCTCTGGAGAAAGTCCCCTGGGGTGGGCCGGGAAGTGCCAGGCACGGGGGCAGGCACAGACACGAAAGGCAACAG